GTAACATGATATTCTAGAAATTAATTTACATTATACAATTTCTGTCCTGGTACATAATTTCTGCAGAAAAGCCTTAAAAAGTGAATGTAAATAAGATAATTACCCTCTAATACTGACAAAATTGCTATTTTATTTGCTTAACATTTTAACTTGTATAACATTACACATGAGCTTTTTACATTTCTCACATACCTTGAGACTATTATAATATACTCTTTCAATATCTTTTACCTATTTACACTAATTTCTTCTCCACGAGTGAATGTCTCCATATACAACAGATCAGTCCTTCAACATTTTAACTTTTAAACGTAAGTATGTGCCAGAGGAACTTCAATATGAAATTTCCACTGTTTCTGTACTACAAGTTCTAACTTTTGAAAGGTGTAAACAGACAGCTCTACAACTCTGTGACCAAACAACTTTATTCCACCAGAATAGTAAGTAGAACTGTCAAAAGTAATGTAGTCTACTTGTGTCGCCTTTGTTCACTGTGCACAGAGAGGTATTTTCAGGATTACTAGTTGATCCAGCATGCAGAATTATATCACACCTAGGACTAAATGTAACGTCTTACCAGGCCTTAGAATGGCCGGACTTAACGTACCAGAGAGTAGTCAGAATACTTGCCGAGGTCAGGGACACAGAAGGAGACACAGCGATGAGGGAAAGCCAAATGTCAAGGATGCCAGAATTCAGGGATGTCAAAACTAAGCCAAAGTCAATAACCAGAATTAAACGAACAGGAACACACTCTCTGATAACCAACTAAGGGAAATCATGACAGGGCACTGAACAAAATGTAAATTGGATTTAAATAATCCTCCTTAGTCTGGAATTGGCTGTCTCTGCCCTCTGACCCCAAAACGCGCATGCGCATCTATGACGTGATGCCGCGCACATGTCTGCACCATCTTTGATATGGGTGAAGGTAAGTTCTTTATAAAAGTCCGGTCCTCAGCGGCCAGCATTTCTGGGGAGGGAGACCAGGTAGCTGTCTGCCGAGCCCCAGATACGTTGAAAACATCTCTGATGGCGTGGCTGCTATGCTTGAGTGCAGCCACGCCAGCAGAAATGTCAGAGTCCATGATAGGTATCAGCCACAGCTCACTGATGAGACCCACTTAGACCAAAAAGATAATGGTGTTACATGATTACAGTATCATAAGGTTGTATTATTATTTCACAGAAAGAGATAACTAGCATTTCAGATCTAACTTCCCTTCTCAGGTGTGATCAATCTGATATGAAAATAGTTCAGGTTCTTTCTGTAATGGCACAAAATGATCTAAAACTTGCTTGAGAGTGGTTACTGAAGGGAATTCTCAGTATTCCCTTGTGTTCTATCTTAGGTTGTTTAAAACTACCAATGTTGGTGTTCTTTGACAAGGAATTTTATTAAAATGTTGCTCTTCCTTTTGTTCTGTTTACTGTATAACTGATTTTGGTCAAAGCGGCCTGGTGTTGTGAAGTATATTACACCAATGCAGACACACAAGATATATCCTCACTCCTGATTATTTGACAGCCTGACTCTGTCAACCGATGCTGGGATGACTGAGGGCTAAACATGCACTTGTGGTGCTCTTAGAGTTAAAATCAGGGCATGCTAAGCCTATACAGGTTTAAAAGCAGCAGTCGCTTTGTAGTTTGTGTCATGGACATATCCATCCAATGGCCACATCACTAAACACAGTATAACATCCTGCATCCTATTTTATTACACTTTTTCACTATTGGTTTGTGGGCATGTTAGGGCATTGTGAAATTTATGGTTGTTAGGTGGCAATGTAGGGTTGGAGAAAGTATGTCTACCAAGTGCTACTCTGTTACCAAGGTACTTCCTATACACAGGGTTCACGAGGATCTTTGTTTTTTCCTGTCTGATACTGGGACTCCACACAGGGCTGCAGCCCTCAAGTTAGCCTCTGGTAGCTCTACTTGGAAACTAACTTTATGAGTCTTGTGATATGTTTCTGCTCTTCAGGCAGTGCTATTAGGGCACCTTCTTTTGGAGACTTGCAAGATGTTTCTGTCTCTCAGGCAGCTGTAGGTCTCGGTTGGTGATTAGTTTGACGTACAAGATACTCTGTGGGTTACCCTTACACTCAGGGGTTAACCAAGGTACTGGTGAAACTGAGTAGTTTTAGACTTATATGTTGACTCCCTTTGTGCGTATTCTTACTCAATTTTTCTCTTTTCACCCTGTAGTGTCACCATTATCCTGAGGTTTTAGAGACCTGATACCTGTGTCTAGAGAAGGCATAAGACCAAGGATCTTGTAGGTAGATTTAGGATGAGATGCTGTTTCTGTGATAATAGATGGAAGAGGTTCGTTTAATATAATAATCTAATTGTATAATAGCTAAAGAGGAAAAGTAAAGGTTGATCTATATTCCCACAAAAAGATGTGGGGAATATCAGAAGGAACCTGAAAAACGCCTAACCAAGAGCTACAAGTTAGGGGGTAACCCAAAAAAAGAATATAGGAGGAGACCCTTATATCAAGGGGATTCTGAAAAGTAGCTCAATATACACAAAGATGCCCAGAATCTAGTAATATGCTAGAGTGAAGGAGAGACAATAAGCCGGTGAAAACATCCCAACGCCTGCCAAACATACAGTCGGACGTTTTTGAGTCACTGCTGTCCGGCCACAGTATTTAGGTTGGGGGGGGCGTTCCCTATGATGCACGGAGAGGATGTGTTGAGTGATGTCGGGACACACCCCCTCCGTAAACACGCCACGGGACAGCAGCTGATTCAACTTAGCATTTTGCATGGTGAGTATATTCACCGGGCGGGTGGACACATAGCCTTCTTAGCTTCTGATGATGTGCGTGAAGCATTTAGTTTTTTTAGTTTTGGTTCTCACTAGGTAGCACTGTCTGTTATGTTCTATTTAGGTTAATTTATTTTATTAGCAATTTTATTGGAAGGCGTTGGGATGTTTTCGCCTGCTTATTCCACCCACCCAACTAACTAAATCACAAATTAATAAAATAAAATATTAAAATGTAACCCCTTAGGATTACTAAAAAAACTAATTTAACCCTTGAGGATAAAAACAAACAAACTAGATCACAGTAAAGTACTGTGGCCTGTATATTGATCACTGCTGGCAGGGAAAGGGTTAATTCTTTTTTAAAAAGAACAGGGTAAAAGCGGACACAAAATAACAATGATCCATCTCTCTCCACTTCAAAAACCCACAAGAGGTAGAGGGAGACGGATCTGATATCCCAGTAGCATTGTGACCGCTGTGGTTGGCTGTCACATGCGCTGGGACATCGAGATTTGCTATGACTCGGAGGCACCCAGCAACAGCATTAACCCTGTGATTGCCAGCACTGCGCGCAATCGGGGGTTAATTTTAACAGATGACGGACCAGGTCAGTCATCTGGCGTTAAGTGTTTCCCCAGGATGACAGACCCAAGCCGTCATTCGTCATTAAGGGGTTGAGGGGTTAAATATATTCAGGAACAAGGATCTAAATAGAAGCAGATACACAGTTTAAATTTCTTTGTAATAGAGCCACCTGTACCTAACTGTTAACCTTCTAAACTATTTGCACATAATTTCTATTGTATTATGGGTAAATGGACTTTTTGCAATTTTCCTTTCATACCAACCTTTATTCAATTATTAGCTTTCACTACTACATCATGACTTTCAGAATTGGTATTTTGCAGTGAGCACTACAACAGACCCCAACAGAAGTGTTGACTGCCCACCCAAAACATTTTAACTTGCTTCTTATGTTTCTGATCCTTAACTCCAACTCCCATCAATATCAGCAATACAGATTGTGGATGTTATCTTTGCTGAGAACTATGAGATTTACAGCTCTGTTTTTGCTTGTGAGCGAAGGTGGATGTAGTCTGGGTATACCCAACAACAGACACAGCTGTTGGTGATCTACAGGTCACATAATGACCAGCTAAGCTTTTGAGCTTTACAGATCAAAGACATTAAGTGAGAGCTAATTTACAATTACATGCAAGACTTGACAGTGTTAGAAAAAGGGTCCAGGCACTCCAAGGTCTTCTGGAACCTTTATTAGAACAGGTGGAACACTGCAACTTTCGACTCCCAATGGGGCCTTTTTCAAGTGACAGTGTGACTGATTTATTGGAGGAGGGGGAAGCACTAAAGTGTGACTTGATATGGTCTGCAGAAAAGGCAGTGAAGAGAATAGATCCAGTGACACCTGTAGTATTACTTATTCAGCAAGTTTTCTGATTAGCAGATTCAGAATAATTAGCTGGGAAATGAGCAATCAGCTTTGGCAGACACAGACACAGGAATAAACAAAAGAAAAAGTTAGCTTTATAATAACATTATGACACTAGAGACTGGTAGATTAGTGTAATGTCCCTTGATCATCTCTTTGAAAATATTTTTCCAAGACATTGCACTTACACGTGGTCTTAAACATAAAAAATAGTTACTGGAAAAATTATTTACTGATGGGAGCCCAATACATTAAATTCACAAGGGAAATTAATTGCAGCCAAACATAGCAAAACATATTTTTTTCTTTTTATTAGCAAATAAACATATATCATTATATAATTGTTACAAACATTGATACCATTAGTATCATACTATCATAAGATGTAATTATTAGGGGTAGATTGTCAGTTCAAGAGCACTACAGGTGGACTTAATATTTAGGAGAAAACCCTGACTCGGTGATACAACTCTGGGTCAAAGTGAGCACTAAATTATTTGTTACATTTCGATAGAGAAAACTTAGCTGGTATGACATTCATACATGTGTATACAGCATAATGTGCTTCCATTATTAAATTTAATCTATAAACTGTGGTATCAAATGTCCAGAGAAAAATATATATGGCAACCAGCTGTACACTAGATATTATTGTTTGTTTGGTCCACTCACATTTTGCATCCCATACTCTCTCCTGATTTCCTCCACTCAATTCTGTCTTGGGGTGGTGGGTGGGATTGTCACTTAGCTCTTGCAACTTTTGAACATGAACACTGCGCATGCTTCTGAATTCCATACTGAATTCATGCTTCACTATCAGAAGCAGCTTAATGGTGCATTTGCAGCCCTCACTGCTTTACAAGAAGAATTTGATTGGACCATGGAAAATAAACTGGTGATCCGGCATGATGAACTAAAGCATACTAGGAGATGCCACTGGAACTTTAAGCTTCACAAATTGTTGGCCCAACAAGAACAGTGCTATAAGCACGCAGACAAGCCAGTCGCATATAATGGCCTCTGCCCACTTCCACTAAAGGCCTGGCTGAATATAGTGCTGGTAGAGTCTCGATAGATGGGCAAGCCTGGTGGGTTCCTGTCTGCCAGCCCCTGGTCACTGCACGGGCCTGCATCTATTGCCTTTGGATCCGACTCCCTTGTGGGCCATCATTGGAGAAGTGGAACATAATTTATGTAATTTCACAGTCAGGATTTTACAGAAATATTTAGTTTTAATTCTGCATACAATTAAATACAAAAAAATATTCCAAAAAATGTATACTAATTTCTTAATACAACGTAATGTTTCACCTTAGTTGCACATAATTTGTCAAATGTAGTTTATAACTGTTTTGATGAAATTTTGCATATTATATAACTATTAAGGGGATAAATTGTGACTTATTTCCATTGTGTTTGTTTTAGTGAGTGCAATGGTTACACATTAATAGTGTATTCTGTTTATTACACTTATTTTATTATACATGGGAATCACTTTCAATCAAACCATTCTAACAAAGTTTGACTATTTACATTCCTGATTGCACATTCAACGATTGGATCAAACTCACTGAGGATGAAATATTATATTATTGTTTCCATATAACATGCATTTTATATGGTTTATTAAGTTGTTTGCCTTTATAACATAAATGTCTTAACTCACTTGTTATTTACGATTCAGCGCAGTAGCACAAAACGCATCTCTGGCAAACCTAGCCACTTCTGGACACTTAAGGTGAATATTTTGTTAACTGTTGCTATGCTCATTTTATATGCAGTGTGTAGCATTCGTCTGAATATTATATCAGTTATGTATTTTATGTAAAACTGTATATTTTGCTGTACGGAGAGATAATGTGATTAACAGTACATTCTTGCACAATTATCTCTCCTGTACAGCAAGGCATGCTGGGAAACAGCCTTGCAGGCTAAGTTCCCCACACAGTCCTCTGTAGTAAAACCCCTGCAATGTCATTAAGGAAACCCCTTGCATTGCGTCTTGCATAAATACTGTGACCGTGGAATAAAAGGACAGTTGACAGTTGACTCCCAGACTATGTGTCGTCTAGTCCTTGGGTAAGAGGGATTATAATTACGCTGCCTGTGTTTTACCTGCTTTATCCTGACTACCAGCGGAGATACCGTGGATTGCTACTCCGCTACAGCATCAGATTGCTAGAATCACTATATCTAAATAGACCCCCTTGGCTAGCTAGGGTCTATTTAGATATAGTTATTCTAGCAATCTGATTCTATGCAGGTTAGATACATAGCTTTTTCCAGCTAACTATCAGTAAGGATTTATTGTTAGTATGGTATCAGAAATCTGGTGTTATCTGGGAAAACTATTTATCTTGGGTATTGATATAATTTATTATTATTTGATACTTGCTGTTTGCATGATCTTAATAAGACCTACTTTCACAACACATTGACCTGCGTACGATATCCCTTTTTTTACTCTACAGCTCACTACTACTGCTACTTTATCGCTACTGAGTTGGAAGGGGATGTTACCTTGATACATTTATTGAAACAGTTTCCCTGTTTCCTAACTACAAATCTTTATAAAGTTGTTACTGAGGTACATTTTGACTTGTCTCCCAATGAGGTGGTGGGTTTAACCCTTTTGTGAGACATTTAGTAGACATACCGTCTGATCTTTACCCTAACACCTAATAAAGGATTTTCCCATATATTGGCATAGGTTATGGGATGGTATTGTCTTTGAGGTTCTCTATTTTTAACTTATCATTCACTAATGAATTCAGATTAATTCAAGTTGTTATTTTGCAATTTTCACCTTAATGTTATATGCTATAATTTTATAATAAAATTGTTTGTATTACAGGACAAAAGTGGGCATTAAAATGTTTGCCTATGAAGAATTGTGATGAGGATCGTCACTTTATTTCACAAGCAGACAACAGATCAATGTTTCGTCAGTAATAATTTATGTGTTTAATAGATATAGGTATTATATTAAATGAATTTCAGCAAAAACAGAGCATCCGAGAATTCTAAGAATAGGCAAAAGCTTAAAGAAACCTCAATAGCTTGCACTTCAGTTAGTCTGCTCAGGTTGGATTTTCTAATATGTTAATTAGTAGTTTCTGATTCTTTCATCAGCTTGAAATGCTTAAAGTGGAACTGTCACCATCTAGACATTTGCAAAGACCCCGGACAGTGACATTGCTGCTGAGGGTCTGGTGAGCGGGAGAGGAAGCCAAAGGTGAGTTTTATTTATCTGAACTTGTCCCTCGCAGGCGCCACCATCCTCTTCAGCTCCTTGTGCTTCAGCTATCAGGAGCCGACGTCTCTGCTGTGGTGTTGTGCATGTGCAAGAGTACAGTATTGAGATATATGGGGGATCCTGCAGATACCATAGGATTCTCCATAGACAGACCTAATTTACCTGCAGCTATCGCTTGTGATGGCTGGGGCAAATAACACTGCTTGATCTTGTGTCAAGCAGTATTAGAGAGAGGAGAAAAACTGATACAAAGTAGTTATTTGTCTCAGTATATCTTTTGACTGGGTTGGAATTTCAGTGAAATTCCACGATACGAAAATTGGTGTAGGAAGGTATAGGAACCAATGCATTACCTGGTAATCCATGGTGGAGGCCCGCAATCTTCAGGTGATGGTATCCAATAGAAAGTCAACAGGTTCAATATGTAAAATACATCATGTAGTTTATTAAAGATAGGAACACAAACAACAGCAAAAGTCCAACACAGTGAATATGAGTATTTAATAAAGATTTTAACTTCATGAAATACTTATTTTGCAGGGGTGTGTGGGGGTGGGTTGGAGAGGGTGAGTAGGGGGTGTACCTAAAACTCCCCTGCCCCCTGTTTTTTTGCATTACACTGCAAACCTGCACTGTGGATTTTAACAACAGAGGAATACAGGGAGTGCAGAATTATTAGGCAAGTTGTATTTTTGAGGATTAATTTTATTATTGAACAACAACCATTTTCTCAATGAACCCAAAAAAATCATTAATATCAAAGCTGAATATTTTTGGAAGTAGTTTTTAGTTTGTTTTTAGTTATAGCTATGTTAGGGGGATATCTGTGTGTGCAGGTGACTATTACTGTGCATAATTATTAGGCAACTTAACAAAAAACAAATATATACCCATTTCAATTATTTATTATTACCAGTGAAACCAATATAACATCTCAACATTCACAAATATACATTTCTGACATTCAAAAACAAAACAAAAACAAATCAGTGACCAATATAGCCACCTTTCTTTGCAAGGACACTCAAAAGCCTGCCATCCATGGATTCTGTCAGTGTTTTGATCTGTTCACCATCAACATTGCGTGCAGCAGCAACCACAGCCTCCCAGACACTGTTCAGAGAGGTGTACTGTTTTCCCTCCTTGTAAATCTCACATTTGATGATGGACCACAGGTTCTCAATGGGGTTCAGATCAGGTGAACAAGGAGGCCATGTCATTAGATTTTCTTCTTTTATACCCTTTCTTGCCAGCCACGCTGTGGAGTACTTGGACGCGTGTGATGGAGCATTGTCCTGCATGAAAATCATGTTTTTCTTGAAGGATGCAGACTTCTTCCTGTACCACTGCTTGAAGAAGGTGTCTTCCAGGAACTGGCAGTAGGACTGGGAGTTGAGCTTGACTCCATCCTCAACCCGAAAAGGCCCCACAAGCTCATCTTTGATGATACCAGCCCAAACCAGTACTCCACCTCCACCTTGCTGGCGTTTGAGTCGGACTGGAGCTCTCTGCCCTTTACCAATCCAGCCACGGGCCCATCCATCTGGCCCATCAAGACTCACTCTCATTTCATCAGTCCATAAAACCTTAGAAAATCAGTCTTGAGATATTTCTTGGCCCAGTCTTGACGTTTCAGCTTGTGTGTCTTGTTCAGTGGTGGTCGTCTTTCAGCCTTTCTTACCTTGGCCATGTCTCTGAGTATTGCACACCTTGTGCTTTTGGGCACTCCAGTGATGTTGCAGCTCTGAAATATGGCCAAACTGGTGGCAAGTGGCATCGTGGCAGCTGCACGCTTGACTTTTCTCAGTTCATGGGCAGTTATTTTGCGCCTTGGTTTTTCCACACGCTTCTTGCGACCCTGTTGACTATTTTGAATGAAACGCTTGATTGTTCGATGATCACGCTTCAGAAGCTTTGCAATTTTAAGAGTGCTGCATCCCTCTGCAAGATATCTCACTATTTTTGACTTTTCTGAGCCTGTCAAGTCCTTCTTTTGACCCATTTTGCCAAAGGAAAGGAAGTTGCCTAATAATTATGCACACCTGATATAGGGTGTTGATGTCATTAGACCACACCCCTTCTCATTACAGAGATGCACATCACCTTATATGCTTAATTGGTAGTAGGCTTTCGAGCCTATACAGCTTGGAGTAAGACAACATGCATAAAGAGGATGATGTGGTCAAAATACTAATTTGCCTAATAATTCTGCACTCCCTGTACAAGTATATATATATATATATATATTAATTAAGAAGAACCATTGTTATTAAACTGAGTGCCACAATTTCATATAAGAGCGTGGGATACGTATTTAATGATACAATACAAAAAAGGCTAATAATTGCACACATAAGCCTACTGGGAGGGAGGAAGAAATGTATCTGGAATATATTTTCTTATGGGCACAGTTTGACTTCAATAATGAATTGGATCCATTTTCATCTAAGTGTTATCACATGTTTCTTAACTTTTTGATGCTTCTATTGCAGATAACTGTTTGATAAAAACCACAACTAAATTGTCTAAGCTGAAGATAAAAATAACCTATTTAATAACTATGAAACACATGTTGAAAGACTATAGGAAGAATACACAAGTTTATATATAAGAAGAGTGCCCTTTTATCCTTATTTGTATATTAGCTATATAGTAAATATTTAGATAGCTGCAACGAGGAAAGCACTGTGGTGCCAACATTATGACTAGAGTTGAGTGAACCCAAACTGAAAAGTTCGCGTTCGTACCGAACATTATGTTTTTTGGACCCCGGACCCGAACACGGACATATCACTGCATGTTCGGTCTGGAGTTCAGTG